ATTCTAGACTCAACGTCACAGCATTTTTTTTCTTTTTCTGTCTGGGTTCCCTTTGAGTAGATTTCTCTTCAGCTGCCAGTCTCCCATATTTTTTTCCCGATTACTATCACACTTTTACTTACTTTTGTATTTGTGTTATTACGAAGTTACTTAATGTGAATTGCTTTAAAGAGAAAGATGGACCTATTAGATGATCCACATCTCAGTGATAATTTGGAACCAAATCTGTCATGTTCACCGCTTAGAAAACGAAGCTACATTTCCAACAAAGGAACTTCCATAAACTTTCTATGAACCTATGCTTTGCCACTGCATGAACCAGCTGATCCGAACAGAGTTGGGAAAACTGCCCATAAGAAAATAAATAACTACACATAATAAAATTTTAAGGAAATCTGTTTAGGTTTTGTGTCTAGTGAAAAAAAGCAAGTATATTAGAAGAACAGATTTCTGTTATTCAGAGTTACCAGATATCTATGTCAGTGACTTTAACACGCACTACAGATCCTCTGGATAATATAACCAACGTGAACAAGCTAAATGTGTCTTGTCTAGTCATTTTGTGTTTATATTAAATATTAAATCTAGAGACCTAGTTCACAATATCATCAGGAAAGTTGTGAGTGAAGCAGGAAGCCAAGGAAACAAAAGACTTCTGTACAACTGGAAGTCCAGAAGAGCCCCTCCTGCTGGCCACTAGAAAAATTGCAGCTTTAAGGCGCTTCTGCATTGTTCATCCATCTTTTATATACAGTCTATGTTAACAAGTTTAGTTGCTGTTAAGCTTTCCTCAGAATCCCTGATAAAAACAAAATACATACCAAATCAATGAAAGGTAACTTTATTTGTTTTTCTTTCCTTTTTCATACAGTATAAGATGCACATGCACATGTTTACAGTACATCGATAGAAAAAAATTGAAGCATTTGTCACCGAGAAGCTGTGGGTGCTACATAGATATAAGGTGCATGCAGCCGATAGACTTATGTGAGTAAATGATAAATATGTTTTATTGTTTTATGTCTGAAAAGTTTCACTGTTCTTCCCTCCTCTTGTATCCCCTACTTCTAAGACACAGACACACACACACGCACAGCAGCAGCAGCAGCAGCAGCAGCATGTGCGTGCAAGCACAGTCAGAGGCCAGACAGCCCTCTGAGGAAAGCAGCCAGTATCAAGCCTCAAGGTCAAACACCTCCTTTTTTCAAACATTATTTTTATGTCATTTCTGCATCACTGGACTGGAAGCCCTTTAAAATTTTCTACCAGCAGAAACAAGCCAAAAACATAGCAGCAGGGAACCACCACTAAAATAGCCCTCACTGCATAGTTTGAAGGAATCCAGTGTGATGGGCTTCCCACTGTGCTGTACACATGCTTATTGCACCACAGTGCCTCGCACTTATTTAAACTATCTTTAGCTGT